CCTCACTCTTTGTCGTACTTGGTACCTCGCCGTAGCCAACAGGATCCTTATCTTGTCGCACACGCCAGCGTCCGAAACGCTCAAAGGATCTCCCACGCTAACGCCCAAGAATAGCCCGGAGATGACGAAAGGGAGATAAAGCAGTACTTTCCCATCTAGCAAATCAAACCCAGTCCCTCTCCCATCCGTCATGTATCTCACTTTGCGCCCGCTTTGAGATGACAAGGCTGCAAATCCAGCCACCACCGGGTGATACGGGAGACACTCCCGTTGTCATAGCCGGTATGCCGTTCTCCGATTTTAGCAAAGTTTCTACTAAAGGGAAACGACTAAATACCTAGCAGGATGAACCTTGTTCCTCCTTAACAAACCCCCTACCTATACCATACCCAACACCTTACCCTGTGTCAACCAACTTATACCAAGTACCAGCAGTAAGATCATCACATTCTTGCCCAACGCCTTTGTGTTGGCTCGTATGGCCCATCCTGGTCTATAGAGAGGCAGTCGCACAGGGCCCTTCATCCTGGCACAATCTAGTCAGGCGTACGTAAGATGACGGCTCGACCGCATCTCTGACTCTTGTCCAGGTCACGCATGCATAAGATACATGGGAAGGGGTTGCACGAAACCGCCGAATCTCGAAACTTCATGCGTGGCATAGTCCTGCAGGTGATGAGAGATGGAACATCCATCGAACTTGGCGTGATTGGCATACCAGACAGGTATACAACAAAACTTAAGACAATGAGTTTCTGCCTTACGATAAGCCCAACTCCAGTGGCTTTTTAGCACATGACATTTCCAGTATACATGTCTTGAGTATGACCGATGCGGTTTTTCATTTTGCATTTTGTCGTTGGCAACTGTCTATTGCAGCTGTTTCTGCTCTCTGTTTATACTTCCACATTCCCCCGGTCAATCATTAACTCTAAACTCACAGGGAGACATTCTCCGTATGCCTCTCGGCATAGTTGGTGTCTGGGAGGTACAAGTGTCGGTCTGCTCCCTCCTTGGTCAAGACGACCATGCGAATTACACCTCCAGAGCTGCCGTCCCACTTGATGGCCTCCCGCAGCGAATTCTTGACAAAGTCAACTGCCTCCTCCTCCTCCATGCCCTCCTTCCAGTTCGCATCGCAGTAGCCGTAGATGTATGTTGAACCTGAGCCACTAATGGCATAAGGCTGCTTGTGAAGGGAGCCGCCAAGCGGAATCTGATAGACCTGTCCTCCGAATCGCTCGTCCCAGCCCGCAATGATCAGACCCGCTCTATACGTCATTCAGATATCAGCATGCTGTTCAAAGACCAAACTCCAAGCCATCTTCCTTCTTCATTTTGTACAGATATCGGGCGGAAACTTACGATAGCTGGTCCTTGTTGGCATAACAGATCTCCTGGAAGATAGAGGCAGCAGTTTGCGTCATGGGAGGCTTGCCGCTGTGCATGGAGAAGAGTCCAAGCTGGTATTGGACGATGTCGGCAACGGCCTGGGTGTCTGCTGCGGAGCCGGAGCGGCAGCACCAGATTGTGTCGTGTACTCTCGTGAGCTTGTCCGTAACTCGGTTGGCGATGTAGGCGCCAGTCGTCGTTCGAGAATCAGCACCTGAGCCCTTGTGTCAGTCGAAAATAGTAACGCCCACGGCATATACAGTTCCAAGTACGCACCAAGAATAACGCCATCCTTAAATGTCACTGCCATACTATGTCAAGTGTTAAACACGGTACCATCTATTTGGGGGGCGGTAACGGCATGCGTACATCGATGTTCCGAGGCTGGGTACCCCGCGTTAGCTTGATTTCCCTCTGCAAGATCCTGGGGGTTGTAGAGAACTTACTTGACCTCGCCCTTCTTCAGGCGGTTCATATCCACATGGATGCCATCTATAGTCATCCAAGTTAATCATCCGCCCACCATCCATCCAGCAGACAAGTCGAACAACTTGCCTTCGTTCAGAGCTCCGCTTCGGCCAAACTCCATGGTGTCTAGAGGCGTTGAGCAAAGTTGGATTAAATTTGCGGTTTCGGGTGAAGAGATAAGGCGTCAATGCTTCACGTGCAGCCTTGTTGAGTTGATGTTCGATTGAGAGGTCGTCTAGGCGGAGGGACTGGAGCTCTACCCACCAAAGCGTAGCTCAGGCAGCTCTGAACGCGCAGCCGTGCCAAGAAGATGTCATATAATCACGTGACCCACTCATGCCACGGAAGGTACGTACCTCCATCTCCGGAACCTTAACGCAAGTGCTCAACGCCAAGAACGAAGTCGATCAAATGCACAGTTGTATTTAACAATATCTGCTCTAAGAAATTGCCCGATTCCCGCTGATTCTTTGTAAACAAAAATGGAATGAAAAAGGCCCCATTGGGACCATGCCGATGATAAGAGCAAGACAAACAGGCCCATCTCGCCCGTCTTTCCGAATCCTCCCTACGGTTTCTCGAGTTCAAGCTGTGGCGACGCCTTATCTGCGCCCTTCTCCTTGTTCTTGTCCTCGTCGCCGCAGCCACAGTCATAGAAGTCGCCAATCTTGTTGCAGTCGAACTCGGGCTTCTTCAAGCGCTTGTTGACAATGTTGTGCACATAGCAGAGCCACCCGGCAACAGCGTTGCGGTCGTAGGTCTGAGGGGGGTTCTTGGCGAGCACCTTTCGGAAGTGCTCGGCGCAGTCGCCGCATGGGTAAAGTCTGCCAAAGAGGCCGATGAAGGATTTGAGGGCAAGGCGATCGCTCTCGGTCGGCTTCTCGGGGAATCGGGCGGCCATCGTGTGGAGGAACTTCCATGTCGCGCGGCCGAGCTCAGCCCTGTGGTTCGTAGTCAGTAGGTTGATCGCATTACATCCACAAGGAAAGGACATACTTCAGAGTCGCATTCTCGAGTTTAGGAGCGATAGATCCACCCTCCAGAATGCCCACGGGCAAATCGCCCAAGTCAACTTGGAAACCATCCTGGCCCTCTGCGGTTCGGGGTGTGTCCTGGCCTGGGAACGTTGGGTAGGCTGAGAATGATGCGCTTGATCGGAATAGATATGATACACTGAACAGGATGAGGAAGGCCAACGCCAGGGACAGCGTAAGATGGTGTCGCCGCGCCATCTTGTGCGGCGGATAAGAAAAGAAGGAACAGAATGAATCAATGCTAGAAAGAAGGGAGGCCGAATGGTTGAAGCGAAGTAGTTTCAGCCGTCCAGCCAAGTGTCAACGCCGGAGGCTGTTGGAGCGAATCAGCAGACAATTGGGGGCGGCCAAAACCGCTAACCGTTTCCGAGCCACAATTGCCAAACGCTTACCTGAAGGGAGGCCCGGCATTGTGGCGCCACCACCCTCCGAGAAGGGACAACGGAGCTCACCAGCCACTGGTGCATTGGGGCCTCTTCCGAGCCGGCACATGGAACCGTTCCCACAACTCTAATTTAATCGGAGACTGTAGACAAAAGGGTAGCGTGACCAAGGATACCTAACTCTCCCTCCCCTCACATCGTCGCACTGCCATTGTGTTCCATGGTAGCATCAAACAAATTCGGGTTCTGACTTGTCTATCGAAAGGATAGAAAGGACATGAATGTTACACCCACAAAGGCAACTCTACAGCCAGCTTCAGCGAGGGTTCCGCGATGATCGGGTCACTTCTGCTGAACCCTTGACATCATATCTGCCGAATACTTCAGGTACGATACTCCGCCGGGGTTCCTGGACTAGCCTCTAGCAGGCTTAAGCGAGCTCCCTGTCTTCCCCGCTCAGTAGTTAGGAGCAGTAGATGCGGCTGTCTAATGGCAAAAACGTCGTTCATGGTAATTGCCTAAGATAATATCGATCGTGTGACATGGTATATGAGAATCAAGAAGTCCGGGAGCTTAATGGATGGATGTTCCTTAGACACGTCAGTGGAAATTAGGGTGCATTGGTTTCAGAGCAGGATCAATCCACTCGGAAGGATTGGAGGAGTTGCGCATATATCTTCTTTCAACATTTGAGTATTCCTATTTCGCCCTACTAGCTAATACTATTACAATAAGTGAGGGGAGTTCGTGCTAACAATCCTGGACTGAAATGTTGAGTGGCCCCCGCCGAAGTAGGGTAATATATCCCCAGATTACTCACAGCTATTGGCCATAAGCACAAGAATTTCCCCATGGGTTAAACCCCAGTAGCGACTATGAAGTTGGGCTGTTGTTCACTTACACTAGAGGCGAGATGCGTGGCTTTTGCCGTTGAAAAGTGATGGCTAGTCACCACCTATCAACATGCTGGTAAGACAATCTCTTACGGAATTATAGGTCCTACGAGAAGAGAACCCATGTGAATATTAAACCAAGATGGCTTTTCTGCATTGTCTGGCGGAAAGACGCTCAGGCGTTGGCATCTGGGAGGATCAGGCAGTGAATTTAGTATTCGTTTAGCTACCCGAATACGGGCTGTCGATCGACCACCCATGTAAAATCCGGATTCCTAAAGTTCAATCGTGCATATTGCTGAGAGGACTTCGCTTGGAATTAAACCAAAATAACGGCTTGGAATAACGGCTTGGAACTAACAGGCTAATGTGCATTATAAACCATATGCACACCAACGGGGGCTATTAAACGATATCCGTTTCTATCGTCACTTTCTATCAATGTGGAGGAGGGGCTGTCCAAACCCGGTGAGGGGCACAAATGAGCTCCATTAATCTGCAACTACGAGGACCAATTGCACCTCCAGGACCCTCGAAACGCTAGGGCATACATAGGCAATTCACTGATTGATTGACTGATTGATCTAATCTACGGATGGGATAGCGGTGTGTGTCACCCAGAGGGCTCACGTCGCAGTGGGCACTGAGGGGTGGTTGGTGGGCGATGCGGGATTCGCCGGCCCTAATTAATGGATTCCCTCTGGGCTCCAACTCGGCTCGTCCCAACCCGGCTCTCTGGTGTCGTACGATGGGAGCGCGTCGTTGAAATATCTAGTTGGCCTCTCCTCCTCCAGACACCGTTCAATTGATCCCAAACATCTCACTCCAAGATGGCTAGCACTGGTCTCTACGTCGCCGTTGCTGGCGCCGTCGCTGTCATCTTCCTGAGCTGGGGCCTCCCTATCTTCCTGGCCGAGTACTTCCCCTGGCAGAGTCTCTACAAGCAGCGACACGGAAAGCCCACCGTCGTCACCAAGTCCTACAAAGGCAGAACTGCCCTGATCACCGGTGCCAATGGCGCCTTTGGCTCCAGAGTTGCCAAAAACTTTGCCCATCGCGAGGTGGGCACTCTTGTTCTAGCCGATGTGAGGGATTGCGGGGGCGTCAAGGCGGAAATCGAGGCAGAGCTCAAGGAGCAGGGGAAGCCTATCCCCAAGATTCTCGTTTGGCAGATCGACCTGATGACCTTTGCCGGGTGCCAAGAGCTAGGAAAGAAGGCAAAGACGCTCGAGAGTCTGGACCATGCTCTCATGACCGCTGGAATCCTCACCTGGGATCGCAGGGTATCACCCGAGGGCTGGGAAAGCTGTAAGTCTGCTCTCCGCCCTTCTCGACGCCTCGTCGAGCGAAAAGCACACATTCTTACAGCTTTCTAACTTGTAATTTTCCATCCCAATAGCCATCCAGGTCAACTTTCTCTCCAGCGCGCTCAACGGACTTCTCCTCCTGCCACTGATGAAATCGGCCCCGTCCAATCCTAATCCTCCAGTCTTGACCTTTGTGACCACCTTCGGCATCTACCCCTCATCCTTCACCCTGGGCATGCCCAAGACCGGCTCCTACCTCAAGAAGCTGAGCAACAACAAGGAGGGTCTGGAGCAGACCCACCAGTACGGCCGCTCCAAGGCCCTCCTCCTCTACTTCAGCCGCGAGCTCGCCGCCCGCGTCTCGGCCGCCACCGCCTCGGGCAAGCTGGGCAAGGTGACCGTCAACAGCGCCGACCCCGGCTCCGCGTGGACAGGCCTCACCAACCCAACCGGCCAGAACATCATCTCGAAGCTCATCATGGACTTTGGTGCCAGAGCGCCCGAGATTTGCGCTGTCGCGTTGACCAATGGAGTTTCCGTCTCTGCGGATGGGCACGGGAAGATCCAGCAGGATTTCGATACTACAACGTAAGTTCCGATGTGATGTTTGATATGATGGTACGGGGTCGTCTAAGTTTCACATGCTAATGGTTTTTATCGTAGATATCCTCCTTTCATGCTGAGGAAGAGCGGCCAGGTCACCCAACAGCGTGTTTGGGACGAGGCCAAGGCTGAGTTCGAGAGCAAGGCCCCCGAAGTCAAGGCCGTCTATGAGGTTCTGGGGTAAAAGGCAGGTGAATCTAAGTTATATGGGTGGGGGTAGTAGGACAGCAGAGGATCGAATTGGTTCTCTACATATGCTATTCCGTGGATGCCTACATATAGCGCAGGTGGTGGCATCAGGAGTAGTGCTCATCAATTGGCTCTCGATCAGGAGAGCGTCGCTCTCCATAGATCAGCCAAAATCAGTGTAATATCCCGGGCTGAAGGCAAGAGCTTGCCATAATTACTATCAGTCTCAAATAAAAGATGTTTTCGTTACTCGCGTGCAGGTTCAGTTCGCAGACTGCGTAATATTGTCACCGGGTCTAACATTGAGCTACACTTGAACATCCGGTTAGGTTCAATGTCCGATCGTTCAAAAAAGTGACTTCGGTGATATTGGCAGGCACGTTATTGGAAATAAATCAAGCTTGTTACTCGATAACTCAGCCTTCTAGGCTTTGGTTTCAACTTCTTTGGTTCTGTTGCTAGGTAATCAGAGCATAGCAATAGTGGAACGAATAGCCAATATTCTGCCCCCTAATATTGCAATATTGTTTCCGATATTGTGAACAAAATTCAGTGACGACAATTCAGGTAGACCGGAGCTCCAAGTTATCTGTGTTGGCGTTAATAGAAAGAATTCGTGAGAGGACCTTTCTCCTTCTCGGCGTAGCTCATTGAGGTTCTACAGAATAATTCACCATGCAGCATTCCAAACGATGACCAGTTAGTACTCTCTTCCCAGCTAGTATCTCCTCCAAACATAGACAGCACTCGTGTGCTGAATTCATAATTGTTGGGGCTTTTCATCTCCGGTACAGTTCCAACTTGTTCCACTCCCCGTCAAGAACTGGCCGGACGGACATCTTAACCTTTTCAATGTAGCGACGCAGAAGAAATACTCATGGGCCTTCCCTCTCTATGATTACATATAAATACTTATGGCGGTACACCTCCTAATACCTATGTCTTGTGGCTACTACTATGCCACAGGTAGATCCACACTGGCCAACGCCAGGAGATGAGGACGCATTGTAAATCAGAACACTAGACTATGACTCTCCCATTTCTTCACTTTGCATTTTCATTTCTGTAGCTTGAATTTTTGGATGTCGGGATATGTAGTATTAGGGAGGATTGAATGAGACTGAGATCTCATCATTTGGGCGAGTGCGATAAAGGATAGACAAGCACCTTTACCCGCTACATAGTATCAGTCACATGTATCATAGTCTATATAAAACTATTTTCAATCGAAACCAGGTGTCTTCTGACTTTAGCAAAGTGATCATTCAATGCGAATTTCCTTCTGAACCATCAGCCGAAGTCCACAGGCAAGTTTCTTCCACAACCAAACCTCACCTCCTCAGATAACCTACCCTATAGTAACTCGTGATAGTAATTTCACGGCTTCGAGAGCGCTCAATCCCTTTGTTTCAAGCTTACGGGTGCAATTGCCGGAATCTAGCGGTGTGTATATTATATTTCGTGCAGGATAAATATTTAGTGTGTCCTACCAAGTGCCAATGGCTTTCAAGAACACATATCGTGTTAGTCGTCTGTCAGGTTAAAGTCACCACATCTGACAAATCTGTAGAAAACCTCCACAAAATGAACCCATGTTCATCTACGCAACACTAGCAAATACAATACGACAGGCATTGGCCTTTACCGATTAGGCATTGGGGGCTAATCACCAGATTTCTACAGAGATACGAGGAATCTAGGGTAACTCGCTATACGAAGCCAAGTGTCAATAATCCACCAAGCGACAGCACCTATCTGCAGGACACGCCTAGAAGACCGGTTTGTTCGGATAGCTACAAGGTATAGATGACCAACACCGTCCGGCTCACCGACATTGCTATTGATGCCATATCCGCGTATAAGGCTGATAGCGCCATGATGGGCGACCCTTGTGCGGCACTGTGAGCCTGAGAGCGGCGTGGACGATACGATGAAGAGATTTAATTTCCCTTGCATCGAATTTTCCAGAGCCCAAGTCAAAAATAATCCAGCTGACATCTTTCGACGACGGCCGAGCACGAATAATTAAGAAGGATGAGAATCATGTCGAAGCGTAATTTGGGGTATCCGGGACGACAGGGGAGTCGTAAATATAGAATCTTGGAAGGATGGCTGAAATTTCTCGCTCTTCTTTCCAAGTCAAGTGTTCAATATTATTACGGCGGGTGGAGGCACGACCTGCAGCCTGATTAAGCAATTAATCACGTCTCTCAAGTATGGCAACCTTAAAAAACCACGCGGACTAAAATTCACACGGACCGAGAGTGGCCCACCGAAGCGGCTTTTTCGCCCCCGTGGCACGTCGCAGCGCCACCAATTGTCTTTGATCGGCTACGCGAGATTGATTCTAGGGAGCCTGCGTGCTCCTGGATCATTAAGAGCCCGTCTCCGTAAAACACGTCAAAGAAATTCGCTAGCTAACGCCGGCTGCCGAGCGAGGGAGGTTAAGATTGTGGATTGAACCAAGGGCTGTGCTATTGGTTTCAGAAGCTGGTGGAACATCTTGAAACTTGGCTGGGCGTGGCGGTGTCAGAGTGAAATGGGCTCGTTCGCCCTTCCACTGTGTGGCACGCACCCACTCATTCACCTGCCTTAGACCTGCGGTGGCCGTTGTCTCCAAGTCCAGCGGCGGGGAACAGCAGCATTCCGGTGAGTCGTAATCAAGTCGAGGGACGACGAGGGCGCATTGATCCCACCGTCAGCCGTCAATAAACGGTGCAAAGGCGAAGTCTGCAAGATGCGTCATTTGCATTCCAGCGCCATGTGAGGTGGGACAAGCCAAGCTCCCTCTCCCCCGCCATTCCTGTGCTTGGCGAAGTGTGGCCATAGATCGGCTAGATGCTGGTGCGGTGATCCGCTCCGTTCGTAGCACTCCGAGCGCCCTGTAATGAAAGCGCCAGGCGAGAGGACAGATCCCTGAGCGATGGAGGGAAGTGTGGCGTAGCCAGCCTCAGGTAGATGGTTCAATAACGTGTTCGGCAACCGAGAGCTTGGCTGAGACGCTGTGATTGATTTCGTGGCACAGGACGGGGAGGTGCTTGCGCACAGACGTGCCATCCTGGTGTTGTTCCCATGGGCGGCCTCGACAATTACGAAGGGTGCCTGGTAGAGCCAGTGTACGTACTTTGGGCGAGGAGTTTACGATTATCACCGCTCCAGGCGAGGCCAGAGCGGGCTCATGACTGCAACGGATGCCTCGCCCGCTTGTCGGCTGCATACGACTGCCGAGTTGGTGAGATGAGACAGACCATCACATTCCATTGCATGTCAGAAAAAGAAACAAGACCAATGGCTGGAGTCTGAGGCGTGACGAGAGATATGACTGACGGCTTTGCGTCTTACCCTTTCCACGTGGAGCGTCGATATCAAGGCTTCGGCTCCGCACCCGTGAGACACCTCAAAGATTAGGGGTTCGTTCGCACTGTCACTACTCAATTTAGCCAACCACTACCCATGAGAGCTAAAAGGTCCTTTGGCAGCAGCATATTAATTACCGCTGGAGCTCCATATGGCATGCTATGTAGCATTATTATCATTATCTGAGTTGGCTGTGTCATGTCAGCATTCGTCCTAAAGGGAGATATGTTGCTGCATACGCAAGCTGTAAGAGTTGCCTTGCAGAAACCGGTCCGGTGGGAGTGACCGAAAATGATAATATTGGATTGGATTATGCTAGAAAAGCAATAAGGCAGCGAAGATCAACCGGGGACCATTGCGCATCGGTCAGTCACGCTGCATTGCAACGTAGGCCTGGGCCACCAGGATGATCTGGGAGACAGTAAGCAGACGGTGAGTGGACATTGGTGCATCCCTCTACTGCACTGACTGTACACTACTGACGCACTCTTAACTTAGCACGAAGAGACTTTGGTGACTGCCCAGTCGGTAGGCTGGATGGCGGAGGATCAGAGCTGGGTGATATTGACGGGACTTGGACAATGGACCAGGTCAGTGCGTAAATTTAGCAGCAATGATCAACAAAGTTGGAAAGTTGGTAAGCAGGCCGTCTGTATGTTAGTGCTGCGCCATCGGACGAGGCTCTGGATGCTACGCTGCTAGAGGAGAAAAGCCAGGCTCGAGCCAGGGAAAAACAGGCAATGATGACTGCTTCGAGCAACCGAAGCCCTGTCGGATGAGGAAGCAATAATGGGACTTGTGCAGAAGAAGGCCGTGCCAAATCCCGTTTTGGAAGCCAAGGGAAATATAGGGCAGTAATATTAATGACCAAGGAGGAAACGCCATAAGAACGTGTTGGTGACGGCTTCATGGGATGGGCAGGCTACGCAGCAAATTGTGGTCTGAGCCGGGCTCAGGGCCAATCGCAAGACGCCATCTTTTTCAGCGCCCTAAGGTAGAATTGAGGGGGGTCCCGCTATTACGTGCGGTTAGATGGACCGTTGTGGGCAATAGCTCCAGATTATGAGATACTTCGACTTTCGCTGGAGGCTCGCGGGACTCAAAAGTATTTTCTTATGCTGTTCCTGGCTAGAACCAGGAACAATGGCGACCGTCGCTTCAAGTCCCCTACCGGAGCTCCATAGCAATTTCCTTTTTGGAGAGGGAGGTGTGCCCATAGAAGGCCGTAATAGTGCCTTGGCGGCTCTTGCTAATGAGCTTGCCCATCAGCGTATGTCACCAGATGTAATACGGCATGCAGACAGTTCAATCTCTTCGCTGTTGGTACCCAAGTGTTGGCGCGATTTCTTTGAGTTGCAGGCGGATAAAATGAAGCTAAAAAGTGCCTCAAACCAACACAGACGACCAACTGCAACGGAAGCTGTGATGTGATGTGAAGACAGAGCGGAGAGTTACATAGACGCCGCGGCCAGGACAGGGCAAGCGTGTGTGCAGGTACATTCTGGTGCAGACACCACGCCTCCTCGATTGGGTGCTTGAGCCATGTGCGTGCTGTAGAAAAAGAGGCCTCGTGCTACCCACCTGGTGCGAATGTGCGTGCGATGATGTGCTCTGTAGGTACCTGCCACGAAGAGTAGGTAGGATATCGGAGCGTAAAATTGATCCGCACCTCTTGCGGTTACATGTCAGACCGCATGCCATGGGTGGCGTCGTATCGACGAGGTGCCCCGGTGCAACCTTGGGTGATGGGCCAACGGGGAGACGCTTTGCACTGCAGCTCGGGGGGTCTCTGCAATGGGAGGCCCTTCCGTCTAAGCACCTAATGATTGCAGTCATGAACTGGTGAGGAGCTGGACACATCGAATCACCGTGATGGGCACACACACACATGCACGCAGAGGGACGCACTATTTTAAAAATGTATGCATCTTGGGCCTGCTAATTTACTAGGCCTGACAGTCCTCTATTTGCGCACAGGTAGGCATGCCTATACGGGAGGCATCACCGTAATACCGACCCAGTGAGCAGCTCCCCGCAGCCCTGGCTCGTATCGTCATCGTCGGCGGACGGCATTCTACCTACATCTACCTCTGTGCATGCATGCAGATGGACCGACAGACATGTGCAGACGTCCTGCCTTCATTTCGTCCCTACATATGAGACTCGTTTCGGACAGGACAGACAGCGACGACCACTCATGTCCATCTGGACTCACCCACGCAAGGGATGTCTCTCTCTCGTTAACGAAGGTCTTGGTCTTGGCTGCGTGCGCGGAAGGACTTCTCGACCTGCTGATGCCCTGCCGGGTAATAATTCTTAGTGTCCAGCCCTCTGCTGGACTGGTGCAGTGGGCTCAATCTACTATTTTCAGCGTCCGCTATGCCCCGTACGGTGCGCTAGCCAGCCGGTGACTGGCCTGGCCGTCCATTGTGCATGCCCAGTGCACTGTGCCCACTGCAGCTGCCCATCTTTCATGGTGGCACGCCCTCTGTCGCCCGTGCCCCACCCCCTTTTCCTCCCTCCTGGCACCAACAGTGCAGGTGCGTGGGCTGGCTGCTGGGACTTTGCACCCCCCTTGTTCCTGCCTGCTGGCTCCATATTGCGTGGTGAGGCCCCAATCCCAGCCAGTCGAGGCCATCCAAGATCCATGCATTCCGCTTCCTTCGTCCCCCTGCCCTTGTTCCTTGTATTTGTGCTCCATTCCCTGCTGCCACACGCTGCTTCGGCCTGCCTTTCTCTCTCTAACCCACGGTCGCTCCCATTCCTTCGTTCTTTTTGCGTGCATATGCCTACCACTGCTCTGTCCTTTCTTACGTTCCCTCCCTCCCCTCCTCTCTCTTTTCTGGTCGAACCAGCACACTCTCCCTCCTTCAGGCGACCATCGTTCCCTTTACTAGTCGACCAGCGCTTTCCCGCGCGTTCAGACTCCTAGAGGCTTTGCATTTCAGCGTCTCATGTCTGGCCAATTGTTTCGGGTTTTTGGAGGTTTCTCGCGATCAACGATAGTTCACGATTGAATGTCTCATTTCGATCGTCCGGCGAAGAAACTAACAGAGACAACAACACCACGACGATAACGACGACTCCCGCAATTGACGAATATCTTGGACTCACCGATCTCGGCTCTTGTTTGACGATACGCCCGGCGTGCTTGCTCAATTTCCATTTGGACGAATTTTTTGTCTAGTCGCTCTTTTACAGCCATCGCAAAGCAGTACATTATTATAACAAAAAGCTATTTAACAACCAAATGTGAGTGGCAACGGCATCGCGGAAGGGAAAGAGACCATTGAGGAAAGACTTCTGTGAACATGGCAGGGGAAAGTATCTGGCCGAGCAGCTGAAAGTGTATTGACTGGTGATTTCTCGTTAGATCTCACTCATTTTTATCAGACATTTTGTCGCATACACTCGTTATATACACTTTCGGAGAGTGAGCATATACCACAACCACCCAGCGCGAAGTATTCTCCAGCCGACGACTAACAACCGAAGCAGCACCAGTCGACGACCGTTTTTTATCTTCATTTGAAAAAGGGAAAATAATTAGTATCTTGGGAATTTGGAAGACCCGAGTCGGATCGAAATTTCATAATGCACGCGAAATTGGCCTTGGCTACGGCCCTTCTCGCGGCCTCGTCGGTCACCGCATTCCCGAACCGACCGCGAATGCACTACCCTCGACAAGTCAAGCGACAAGTCTTCAACAATGGCACCAATCCTGTCGATTCCACTGCCACTGATAGTGTGACGCTGCCGAATCTCATTGCCCCGACGACAGACGCCACTACCGGCATCACCATCGCGCCTACCGGTATTGTCGGAACTTCCAGTGATGCTGTCGCCACCAGCTCGCGGCACAACAACCTGGATGATTTGTTGAGCTCACTGAGCTCAGTTCTCAACTCTTCGTCCTCAAGTGAGGATGCGTCGTCAACACAACCCTCAACCGACTCGTCGGCGGCGGCAACGACCAGTGCGGCAGCAACGACTAGTGCAGCGGCAACCACGAGTGCAGCAGCAACCACAAACCCTGACCCCACAACCACCGCGGCAGGGACGACGACCTCGGCGGCTCAGTCATCTGACGTCCAATCCAGCTCTGCCGCACAGCAATCATCAGAGCCTGCTCAAACTACTTCCGCGGCTCAGACATCGGCGCCCCCTGCCACGTCCTCAGCAGGCAATGGACTCTCATCGCTTATCTCGGACATCGTGGGCCCTAGTAGCTCCGAGCCTGCTCAAACCACTTCTGCAGCGCAGACATCGCAGCCTCCCGTTGTCAGCAGCTCAGCCGTTCAGACATCTGAGCCGCCCGCTCCCACTACCACTGCCGCGCAGACATCCGATCCTGCTCAAACTACTTCCGCGGCTCAGACATCGGCGCCCCCTGCTACGTCCTCAGCAGGCAATGGACTCTCATCGCTTATCTCGGACATCGTGGGCCCTAGTAGCTCCGAGCCTGCTCAAACCACTTCTGCAGCGCAGACATCGCAGCCTCCCGTTGTCAGCAGCTCAGCCGTTCAGACATCGGAGCCTCCTGCTCCAACCACGTCGGCTGCGCAGACATCGGCGCCCCCTGCTTCCTCTTCAGGCAACGGACTTTCATCGCTTATCTCGGACATCGTGGGCCCTAGTAGCACCGAGCCTGCTCAAACCACTTCTGCAGCGCAGCAATCGTCTGGTGCTGCTACTACTTCCGCAGGCCAGCAGACATCTGATGTTGTGACCAGTCAACCAGTGCCAACTTCTTCTTCTGGAAATATCATCTCTGATATTCTCTCCACGTTGTCATCAATTCCTAGTCTGTCGGATCTGATCCCCACTTCGTCAGACATTATTCCTACGACTTTGATTCCTACGTCCACAGGCATTCTTCCCACCGGTACCGATTCAATTTCTATTCCTACTGGAACCAGCCTGGGCCCATCTGGTACTGACACCAGCCTGCCGCCAACTGGTAGTGGAACAAGCTTGCCTCCTACTGGAACTGGTTCTAGCCTGCCTCCTACTGGAACTGATACCAGCTTGCCTCCTAGTGGAACAGGCACTAGCCTTCCTCCTACTGGAACTGACACCAGCCTGCCTCCTACTGGAACTGGTACCAGCTTGCCTCCTACCGGAACTGATACTAGCTTGCCTCCCACTGGAACTGGTACTAGCCTGCCTCCTACCGGAACTGACACCAGCTTGCCTCCTACTGGAACTGGTACTAGCCTTCCTCCCACTGGAACTGATACCAGCGCTCCCCCAACTGGCACTGTTACGTCCGGTTCCGCTTCTGGCACTGCATCTGGTTCTCAGACTCAGCCCACCGCCACAGGAACCGAGGCCTCTGATTCTGGCACTCAAACGCGTCCAACTGAGACTGGAGACCAATCTGCAACGGCCACATCTGGTATTGTCACTTCTGGTGTGCAAAGCCAGACCGATGTTCCTACTTCTGTTGCAACCGGCGCTCCCACGACAAGTGAGAGACCACCTGTCACTAGCATTAGGCCCACCGAGACTGCTTCCAAATCGGATGACTGGCTTCCAACAACCATCGTCGGCGACCCAACTTCATTCTCATTCTCGGCACCCTCCGTCATTCCCACCGGCACCTCCAGCGGCAGTGCGTTCCCCACCAACCTTCCTGCTGTTCTTCTCCCTGATCAGCAGAAGCCTCAGCCTGATGGAACCAAACTGATCGAGGTTGGTTTCTTGTATGCTCTGAACTATGAGCACGTGGCCAAGAATACTGTTGCTGCTGCCCAGATCTTTTCTTATCTTCCTCGAGCTCTGTCTAATGCTGGAGGATTTCAAATTGACAAGATGCAAATCACGAGACTCGAGCCCCTTGACACTCTTGCCAAGTACGGATACTGGACCACTATCGCCAAGTTTTACTATCCCGAGAATCTCCTTGACAAGCTTCAGGCCGATATCTTGTCTCCTAACTCGCAAGTCTACAACTACCCCGACAGCTTGGTTCGCGACTTGACCGCAGTTATTAACCCAAAGATCGACATCTATGGCAAGTTTACTGATGACAACAATAACGGTGGAAGCAACGGTGGCAACAACAACGGCAATAACAACGATGACGTTTTGGGTAACGGTTCAAACAACAGCTCCTCATCTTCTAGACAGCAAGCCATGACCGCCGGTATCGCTGTCGGTGCTGTGGGTCTCAGTGCGCTTTATGGTGCTGCCATGTTCATTGTCGCCCGCCGTTACAAGCGCAAGAGACAATCCTCGTCTCACCACCGATCCAGCTCCGTCACTGGTAGCGACAGGTCTTCAGAGATGCAGTACGCTGGCAACGGCAGCCCTGCCCTCATGGGAGGTGCGCTCTTGAGCCGGGACATGTCGAGTTATGGTGGGGCAATAGGCGGTGGTCGAGAGAGCCACGGCAGTGGTCGCAGTGGAATGGGCAACTCTGCCCGCACTGCCAACATCTCAGCCCCAGTTGCTGCAGAGAACTCGCTCGGCTGGCGCTGATAGTGCTCACGTCTGTCTTGGCCCGTCATCAAAAGCTCATCCGTCCATATTAGTTTCATCTACACTTCGATACCCTGGGATCGCTAGCCCAACAGATAGAAGGGGAGGCCGAATTTTCAACGAAAGAACCGAGCGTCAACTCTCCATCCTTACTCTTGGGGGAAGCGTCCCCCGCTTTTTATTTATTACCTGATTTTCTCCCTTTCTTCGATTGGTAAAATTATCGGCTTTGGATACGTTTCTGATAATATCCCATTTCTTGATCCCAACGAACTGCCGGGCGCTGTAACATGGATAGGGCCGGGATCCAGCTGTACCTTTTCTTCTGGCCTCATCCTGGTGACCTAGGCAGCTTGTTGTGGCCGTTTAATATACTTTTTTTCTTCTCATTTTTGTTATGTCACCCTTATGTCTTTTTGTTTTTGAAACCGAGGAGGAAGTGGGAGATGCGGACTACAGGGACTTGGCACAGTACCACTAAGCATGGCGAACCCCTTCCAAAACATACACATATTATTTTTCCATGTCCAGATGAGGAGTTGTCTCGTGAGGAGTCGGGCTGACGGGGGATTGTATATTTTGGAAGAAGGAGCCCCCATTGGCTCTTGATTATCGTGGGGATGTAGAAACATATGTTAGTTAGAGGCGAATAAATCACTTCATCTTTAAAATGTTGCATTGATCTACTTGTTGATTGTTACAGCAGAGTCTGAAAAAAGCTGGATACTCTAGGCTTGGACCTGGACGTTCGAGACTTGGTGGGAACATTGGACCACCCAATCTTGTTGGCATTGTGTTTATATCTACTACGTGCACGGCCAGTTCCTCTAGCCTTTCTACAATTAATGATGCCGTCCACGCCCTCTATGTGGTCTATCCCCTCTGTCACCGCCGCCGCCGCCTCCTCGGTACGGATGCCCGCCGCCCCCCCACCGATCCCGATTATGGTGCCCGCCCTGATATCTCCTCCTGCCACCACCACCGCCACCTCTTTCCCTCTCGTTGCCCCCGTCGTCTCGAATGTTCCGGGGAGGATGTGGAGGCGGGGGGATGGGCTCGTCGACCTCGACCTCGTGCTCCTCCCACTCCTCGCGGAAGAAGTCGTCGACGGTGCGCTGCTCGGAGCGGGCGGCCTCGGGGTTGAAGACGAAGCGCATGGTTGAGCCGTCGCCGCGGACGGGGCGGGGGCCGGTGCCGCTTAGGGGGTTGGGACCCGCGGCGTGATCCGAGGAGGACAGGAGGTTGTTGGTGTTGGGAGGTGGCTGGTGCTGGGCGGAGGGGGAGTGCTGGTCCGGGGAGGTGGCGGAGAAGGGGGAGGACTCGCACTCGGGGCAGGAGTAGAGGAAGCGGGGGAGGGAGGCGTGGTCGAGGTCGTTGTTGAGGAGGATCTTGATGTCCATGAAGTGGTTCATGTCGAAGCGGGGGCCAAGCTTGGTGGACTTGGGGTGCTGGACGTAGAGGTCGAGGAGGTCGAGCATGGTCTCGAGGACGGCGGGGCGGCAGTAGTCTGGCTTGAGGTCGGAGAAGCGGCGGACCTCGGGGAGGAGCTGGGGGTGGTCAGCGTCGGTGCTGCTGATGTCGATGGCGCGGGCTGTGAGCTCGATGACGGCCATGACCATGGAGAAGGTGGTGCGCTTGATGGGGGCGAAGGTCTTGTAGAGGTCGATGCTCATGGCGTAGGCGGTTGAGAAGAAGTCGCGGGCGGAGGGGGAGTCGCGGCCTAGGATGGAGCGGGTGCACTTGACGAGGAGCTTCTGGGGGTGGCGGGTGCGGAAGTCGAAGCCTATGGTTTCGAGGATAAGGCGCTCGAGGCCGATGATGATCCTGGAGGAAGCTTCGAAGACCTGATATTCGACTAGTTAGCTTTTTTTTTCCCCTTCGAAGCCAGCCAGCTTGGGGATTTATGCATAGACGAATAGCCAATTTACCTTGTCGTCTGCAGCAGCAGGCTTGTCTGGGTTCTTGATATTGTATGCTGCCGCGAGGATCTCCCTCGACTTCTTGATGGTGTCCTCGACCTTGCACGCCACGAAGAGCGAGGCCAGCGCGGCGTCTTGGTAGTTGTACTCAGCATCTCTAAAGTTGAGTCTGAACTTGTGGAAGTACACGCATGCCGTGTCAAACGTCCGAACCGGTCTGCGCGCCACTCAATGTCAGCTGTCTCTGTCCTGTCGTCTCCTTTCTCCTTTGCGGGCCACCAACGTACAACTGCAGATGCTCCCTCACATTGTCAATGAGTTGGACGCCCTGTAGTCGGTAGTTATCCTCCCTGGCCGGGTCGCATCCGTTCTCCTTGAGGAGGTGCCTGATCTTGCGCTCGCAGGTGTACTGGTTCGAGCTGGTGATGTAGCCAGGATGAGGCCCGGCTCTCACGGGCGCGGGAGGCGGAGGAGGGTGTGGCGGTTCGTCTCTGGGCTGGTAATGGTTCTGCTGGTGTCGCCGGTGGTCCCTCCCGTTGGTGCCGTCCGAGGGCCGTCTACCCCCAGCTCTGGAGGGTGCCATGAGGGAGCTCGGGCTGAGGCTGGGCGAGGCGTGAGCTCTGCTGTTGGGTGATCACGACGCGACTGGCGACGGGACGGTCGAGGTTTGCGCGTGGGTGCGCAGTCACACGTGTACGTGGTCGTCCAATTGCGCTCGTAGCCAGGTGGAGACGGACTTTAAATGATGGATGCCGGTCTGAGTGAGGTTGCGCAGGACGGTAGCGGGCTGGGATATTTGTTTGTTGGTGTGGTCTGTTTGGAGAGGTCCTGAGTGGCCAATTTTTTGGCGGTTACCTACAAGGTACTTTCTTGGGATGGGGCAGCTGCTAGTAGAAGCTTGGCGGGATCGTGGCGTTTAGTGGGGTGGCTGTATGTCTACAACTCTTGGCAGATGGCACATTTGGGGCGAGAGGATAGGCCATTGAATTTGATGGTTAAGTGCTTAAAAGACATAAGCTTCTCTGATCGATTGCTTGTATGACTTGCCGAACGGCGACAGAATTAGGGAGTAGCTCATTCTTTAGATGACTGAGTTGTCATCCTGCACGTATGTTTTGACATGAGTGGGCATGAATAACAGGGACTGCGAAGGTGATTTAATCCCAACTTTCTAATATACGATATTGATAGACAATAGTTAACAGTTATAATAATAGTAGTAAATTATTGAGCAATTATTAAGTACATAATATTATCGCACAATAGGAAACATTATTATGGAAGTCAGTGCCATGATAAATCTGTCAAGGTGGCTTTGGAGTCCCTGTTTCTCTGACAGCCACTTGCTACAATAATACATAGGCACCTGAGCAAAAGTTAGGAAGATCATGCGGGAGAAGAAAAATTAAAGAGGTCTGTGGAGAGGGATAGATCAACGCAATTCCCTATAAGGTTTACGTCTGTCGCCCAACGATAGAGCCCCCAATGAAGCCTCAACGATCAAGGTTTCGTCCAAACAAAGGTTGTGTTCGTTGTCACAACTCTTTTGCTAGTATAACTCCCTTGCCAAGCTCTGATACTGCTTCTTCAATGCATTTAAACACTGCTCTTCCTCGCCTTTTGAGGCAAAGGAAACTGAATTCAGCAGCAAAATAATACCTTCTCCAGTTCAAATCTACGCAGCTGAAGTTCGCACAAGACTAAACCTGCCTCAAAACCAACTCTCGCAACACTCCCAAAGTGCACCGAGACCACACGTCTCCCCAAGCCGACTATGGCTTCCTTTGATTTCAAGCAGCCCAAGCTGAAAAGCAGCGAAGCCTTCCCCTTCGTTTTTGTGAGGGACCATTGGGAGACTAAGGAGAGTGTGCGGGATAGCTGCGAGAACGCCCTCAATAATTTGAACGCGGCGTGGCACAACGGCAGTTGGCCCTTAAGCCAGCAAGAATACCGATATAATGTTTCAATTTTGGAGAGGACAATAAGCATCCTAACAACCGACATCATTGTGCTTCACACATCCTTTTACGAGATATGTGGAAGAATCATGGACTGTACTACTTGGGGGGAAAACGAAGATACCCAGCACTGGTCGCATCTTACCTTGTCGTACCTTGACTCGTTGATCACACTCTACAAGACGCCACAGGGAGCACGACGTGCTCTCTTTACGAAAAGAGACAAAAAGACCCGGGATTGGTTTCGAGCAGACGTGATTGAGGCGTACGACGCCTTAAATGCAGGAGGTGGAGTATGGTGTGTAATCACTGGAAGACATTTTTATCCCAGCCTTGTCAAAGCCGCCCAAATTGTCAGGTATAAAGTGGGTGAAGTGACAGCTGCACACCTGTTCGGGCCCCCAGACTCCAGGGACGGTCATTTAGGGGGAGCCAAGAATGCGTTCCCGGTCTTCGGATATTATGAAAAGCTGCTTGACGATGGCAGATTGGTCATTGTGCCTGACACAGAAGCAGGCCCCAATTGCTGGAAGACAATGTGGCTACATGACGAAGACGCGGAACGACCAAGCCATGGCTTAGCTGAGCCAACTGGTAAAAGGCTTCACAACCGGCCATTGAAGTTCAAAAACGACTTCCGGCCTGCAGCAAGGTATCTCTACTTTGCGTATTGCATGAGAGTTCTTCGCCGCCAACGCCATGAGGCCCCCGGCTGGTGGAAAGGTCGGTTCAGTACCAGCAGCGGCTGGGCATCGCCGCGCGATTACATGCGAACGTCAACCCTACGGATGCTTGCACGCAGAGTAGGCCACTTGACAGAGGACGAGGCCCTGGCCTTTTCAGGAGAATCGGCGGCCGACATTGCTGGCGTCAACGAGCATGCGGAGAGTGTCCATTCAGACATTGTCTCCCAGGGGTCGATGAAGACCCTTATTCCGTGTCACTGGCGTAAGAACTTTGACAACCTGGAATTTGGAACTGATTCGGAGGATGAGAATGAAGATGAGGACGAGGACGAGGATGAGGACGAGGATGAGGATGAAGATGAAGATGAAGATGAAGATGAGGATGAGGATGAGGATGAGGATGAAGATGAGGATGAGGATGAGGAAGAGGATGAAGAAGAGGATGGTGAGGAAGAGGAAGAGGAGGAAGAGGAGGAGGAAGAGGAAGATGAGGGCTACTATACAGATGATTAGAACGACGCAGCTGTGTTCTAATAATTCACAGGGCTGTGTAGCTGATTAGCCTTCCCCTTCTCACTCTTGCCAAGGCGAGATCTTTTCTCATATAAGAGCCGCGGGGACGATACAGATATGGGATGCAGTCTCATATCTCCAAAAGACAAAAAAACAACCTACAACAGCCGGTATTCGCTGGTCGTCACCGACCCAACTACTAATCGGCCCCTTACTAGCTTAACGTACGGAGAGCAGACGGGATCCAGTGCTGTCTAGTAGGTATGGTCGTAGATGGTGGAGGGTGGTGGTATGTGGTTTATAAAGCTGTGTTGGTTTGGTGTCTCCCTGCCGAGCTTTCGCGTCGCACAAGGCTGAGTGGCTGACTACCTACCTGACCTCCTTTTACTTGCTCTAATGTAAGTTAGAGGCCGCAGAATACCAAACAATAATAAAACATTTTACAATATTTAGCTTTATGTTATGTTTATTGTTGTATGAATAGTTTTGATATTGTGTCGAAATTTAACGCTGGATGTTCTTGGTGGACCATGTTTTGTTTCATGTCAGTCATTTGCCAGGGCACTCATATAATACAGGTATGGAACGGTATTCATATCTTGCAATTTTTTTTAATTGATTCATGAAAGATTCTATGGACAAAGGTAAAATACCAATGTGCGTGGCAATGCTATCTAAACATTGTGGGTATGTAGTGTAATGCAATGACTTATCACCCGATGTGATGTCTTCTAAAATGAGTGTGATGCCAACCCCCTGGCACAACGCCTGGTATCCCGTTATATTCCCATGGTATATTGTATGATGTTGTACTTATTTTATTTTGATTTGCCTCTGGAATCGCCTGATTAGCCTTGGTTCTGTGTTAGGGGTGATGTCCTTGACATCAAGCAAGCCGACAACATACCTTGTAAGGCCATTGGTAAAACCAGTTTACTCAATGTCGGCCAAGAAGACGTTCATGGTATCCAGGCGGCGGGGGTCAATGCCCAGGGGCATAGCCAAAGCCATGGTGGCGAAAGCGGCAACGAGAATGGCGGAAGGACTCATTTTGATTGTTTGGTGGTTTTTGGTTTGCTTGGTTGGTTTTTGGAGATAGATTTCGTTGTAGAAGATGCTGATCTGATCCGAAGTAGACGGGTATCGATTACAGAATAGATTGATTGCTGTATTGTGTATAGTGTCTGATTGACCGTTGTAGTGGGTTTGTATGGGGGATGTGGATGTGATGTGGAGAGGACCGGCCTCGTTGAGCGATTGAATTACAGCTGGTGTATATGAAGCTGAGAGAAAGATGGTAAGGACTCCGGATTGAGTTGAGCGAGAGTTGTGATGAGGATTTGATGACTGCAACCGGGACGGGCCCTCGCCCTCTTTATGCCATCGCAGAGAAAATCCCCGTCTCTCTGACTGCACCTCCCGAAAGCAGGGAGACGCGGGTTACGCATCATCAGGTGGTTAGAGGCCCGCAATTCTGTCTGCGTCTTGCGCGCTTCCCAACCGATCAGCCGGTGATCTGTAGTTTACGTATGCTTGGACCTCCGAACGGGGACACTGATAGGCCAGGGGCACAGTGCCGTCAATGTGGAATGAGGTAGGTCCCAGTGTTGCGTGGTGCATCCCCTGTTTCAGGTCCACGGCTAACCAGTCCAACCACCGTTTGCAGCCAGTGGTGGGCTTGCCCGGCCCCATAGAAAGACGAGCATCCCAATCAGCCAGAGTCCCATCGTCTCGAGCGATCCCGGTTGGCCAAGCTCCGGACGTTCTGACACTGTTCCAGCAGGCCATGAAACTCTCTAGGGCCCTGAATGCGACAACGCCCACTCCGTAGTGTTGACTGCCCCCATTTTCTTGTGTCATCTATGGGGGTCCGAGCAAGTTCTACTACCAGAAGCAGCAGCGGAAAAAGTTGGTCGATGGTTCAGGTCAAAAACCTCCGACCTGGATAAGGGTTAGACCTTGTTCACGTTGGGGATGGTTACGCGCAAGCTGGTCTTCCGAACTCCGTATCGAGTGCACGGAGACGACGACAACAGCTGAGGGGCCCGCTGTGGTTTACGCCATCGACCTCTTCCATGTTACGGATTTCTTCTTCATGCAATGTGACGAAGCATTCGCCAGTCGGCACATCGTGCGGGTTTTTGGACATCGGGGCTACCAGGGCACAGCGACGATGGTCAGACCAGCGCCTAGACAACCATCCCCATTCTCGCAGGTTAAAAAGCTTAGCACGGCAAAAAGGTGGAGAGAAGCAGGCCTTCGTTCCCCGTCTTGGCTTGCGCGTTCCTGGCTGGCGATTCGCTTCGACCCCCCATTTGCCCCATGAGGAAGCCCGAGCTCGAGGAAAAGAGGAGAAGGGAATTACGACTCGCAAGCTAATCACCTGCTTCTTCTCTCATGACATGGTTTTATGCAGACTTCTGGTGACGAGGAGGGTCGACGCACCAAGACTAGTCGTGGCTATGCTGGTGGCCACGCTTGAATGCGGTTTCTTTTTGCGCCGCCGCTCCTAATTAACTTGGCTTATGCGTCGATGTGATGGCGATGGATAGAGAGCAATCCTCGACTCGATACTGGTCTGTGCGTGCCAGCCATCCTTGCAAGGAGTTCGTGTTTCGCAATTTGTGGCCGTGATCGGCGATGTGATGCCCCTCGATGCAGGCGCGGAATCCAATGGAGGGCTGCGGATTGATTGCGATTAATTGGCATGAATACGATAGATTAATCTGAGCAAAGTGCCGAATGACGTGCATACACACAGTAAAGAATGCCAATCGTTTCTTGGATCGTCAGTTGTGCGTTCATCGATTGAGGATAAGTTGCAAAATATGCATTCAAAAATTATGAAAACGCGAGGTTAGTCATGCCCAATTCAAGCGAGGAGAGTGCGTCATGCGCGGCTTCCGCGGCCTGTTTTGGCACTTCCTCCATCCGTAAACAGAGACGAAACGCTCGATCGCTCATTTTGTGTAACCATTCACGACTGACATGGCCTACATCCGCGGAATACGGTTGCAGCAATGGTCCGGTTTGGGACTTCTCATAGACCAAGCCACGGATCTAGCCATGGGCCTAGCTTACGGGCCTAGCTCAGTGGATTTCCAATGCGGGCTGTAAACATACTGCCCTCAACACCATCGTCAACGCCTTGGTGATGTGCTGCTAGGGCTCGTGCATTATCTGACCTTCAATTGACTCGAAGTCCGAGACTCGATCGCAATCTGCTGCCTATCTAGGGAAGTCGTGATGGCATACATAAGCACAATGGATGACTCAGGGCGACCGCTCTCGCAACTAGTGACTCATTTAGTATATCTGCTCAGAAAATGAATTGATCGTCACCTCATCTCGCGTGTGCTAACTATCCTTTTCATCATCTCCATTGCCTTCGACAGCAAACCTGCCGTACCACTTGCACCGTGAAAAAAATGGCCTCTACACAGCCCTCAGGGACAGGGAAGCCCATGAGCGAGAAGCAGAGACTCAAGGCTGAGAAGTTCGCCTTGAAAAAGGAAAAACAAGCCCAACAGGCACAGCAGAAATCAGGAGCTAGTTCCAAGGAGAAGAAGCCCAAAAATCAAGGTGCTTCCGGGGTCGATTCAAAAGATTGGGTTGACGAGACTCCAGCTGGGCAAAGAAAGATACTCGGCACCCTTGATAATGATTTCCACAAGGCGTACATACCAAAGGTCGTCGAGTCTGCCTGGTACAGTTTCTGGGAGGAGAAGGGGCTGTTCAAGCCACGGACTGAGGAAGATGGCAGTATCAAATCCAAAGGGAAATACGTCATTGCGATGCCGCCCCCGAATGTATGGGCACGTCCATGTACGAGAATCGTGGTTAGTTGCTAACTTTGCTTGCAGGTTACGGGAAGACTTCACATCGGACATGCCTTAGCCCTTTCGCTCGAAGATACCCTCATCAGGTGGCATCGCATGCGACAGTTTACCACCCTCTACATCCCTGGCTGCGATCATGCAGGCATTGCCACTCAAGCTGTCGTCGAGAAACAGCTTGCGAAAACCCCGAAGGACGGGAAATCTAAGAGGCAGGATTTCACTCGCGCTGAGTTCGTACAGCTGTGTCAGGAATGGAAGGAGGATTACCACCAAGCCATCAACAAGACGACCCGGAGACTCGGTGTCTCCTCCGACTGGTCGCGCGAGGCCTTTACAATGAGCCCCCAGCTGTCCAGAGCTGTCACCGAGACCTTTGTTCAGCTGCACTCGGAAGGGCTGATTTACCGAGCCAACAGGCTTGTTCACTGGTCTTGTCGACTCTCGACTGCGCTATCCACGCTTGAAGTCGACCAGAAGGAGCTGGAGGGAACTACCAAGCTTGACGTCCCAGGATATGATCGCAAGATTGAATTCGGAACGCTCACATACTTTAAATATAAAATCGAAGGCTCCGATGAAACAATTGAAGTTGCAACAACAAGACCAGAGACAATCCTGGGTGACACCGGTATAGCTGTTCATCCCCAGGATGATCGATATAAGCATCTCGTCGGCAAGATTGCGCAGCACCCTATCATCGCTGACAGAAAGTTGAGAATTATCGCCGATGAGCATGTTGACAGAGAATTTGGTACTGGCGCCGTCAAGCTGACGCCTGCCCACGATCACAACGACTTCGCTCTCGGGAAGAAACATAACCTCGATTTCATCAACATCCTGAACGACGATGGCACTCTGAATGCAAATGCGGGTCCATACGCCGGAGAGAAACGTTTCAATGTCAGATACGCCATCACCGAGAAGCTCAAAGAACTTGGCCTGTATACGAAACAGGAACCAAACAAGATGGTTGTTCCTATCTGCAGTCGGTCAGGGGATATTGTGGAACCATACCTGAAACCGCAGTGGTGGATGAAGATGGAACCTCTGACACAACCCGCCATCGATGTCGTCGAGAGTGGGGAGCTCGTCATCCGGCCGGACCTACAGAAGAGGCAATACTTGCAATGGATGCGCAACCTGCAGGACTGGTGCTTGTCGAGGCAGCTGTGGTGGGGCCACCAGATACCGGCGTATTTCGTCACCGTCGAGGGCGAAGAGAACGGGGACGATGCTGATGACAACTACTGGGTCTGTGGCAGAACGGAGCAAGAAGCTCGGGAAAAGGCAGAAGAAAAGTTCCCTGGAAAGAAGCTTTCACTCAGGCGGGACGAGGATGTCCTGGATACCTGGTTCAGCTCCGGCCTCTGGCCGTTCAGCACTCTCGGATGGCCAGATAAGACGACAGATCTCGAAAGGTTCTTTCCAAATACAACTTTGGAGACCGGCTGGGATATCATCCCGTTCTGGGTCAGCCGCATGATAATATTCTCATTGAAATTGACTGGAAAGGTTCCTTTCACCGAGGTGTTTTGCCATGGCTTGATCCGTGATAGCGAGGGGCGGAAGATGTCAAAATCTCTTGGTAATGTTGTTGATCCGATCGACATCATGGATGGTATCGGCCTCGAAGAGCTTCACCAAAAGCTTCGACAGGGCAATCTGGCTCAGAGTGAGATCAAGAATGCCGAAAGATACCAGAAGAAGGCTTTCCCACAAGGAATCCCCGAGATTGGAACTGACGCACTGCGGTTTTCGCTTATCAACTACACCCAATCATCCGGTAGTGACATCAATTTTGATGTTAAGACAATGCACAGCTACCGCAAGTTTTGCAACAAGCTTTACCAGGCTACGAAGTATGTCCTTGGTAGGCTTGGCGAAGACTTTGTTCCCCGTGAGACGAGTTCTCTAACAGGCAAGGAGAGTCTCCCGGAGAGATGGATTCTAACCAAGATGAATACTGCTGTGAGCCAGGTCAACAAAGCTCTTGAAGCCCGTGAATTCTCTCGGTCAACTCAAATCAGCCATCGGTACTTATACGATGAGCTATTTGACGTCTTCATCGAGAACTCGAAGTCGATCTTCTCAGATGGCTCTGCCGAGGAGGTCCGCTCTGCCCAGGACACATTGTACACCACGATTGAAACTGGCCTTCGGCTCGTCTCGCCATTCATGCCCTTCCTGACCGAGGAGCTGTGGCAGCGTCTACCACGTAGACCAGGTGATGACACACTCTCGATCACAGTTGCGCTCTATCCAGAGTATGAGCCGTCCTTCAATGACCCGGAATCTGAGGCAGCCTATGAACTTGTCCTGGGATGTTCGAAAGGTTTGCGCTCGCTTATGGCTGAGTACTCTATCAAAGATCAAGGACTGGCTTACATCACACCTCTAAATGAACAGTCCCATGCTACAGCATCTGCTCAACTTCCCTCCATAAAAGCACTGAGCGGGAAGACTCCAATTGATATCACCATCCTTCAAGTTGGAGAAGCCGTCCCCACGGGTTGTGCGGCCTTCCCCGTTTCTGCCGACGCGGCGGTCTACGTTGAAGTCAAGGGCCGTATCCAAGACACCGCCAAGGAGGTTGAGAAGGCCAAGGCGAAGATAGCTGAGGCACGGAGGGACCAAGAAGAGGTTCTCTTGCTCAAGGCGGACCTGAGTAAGATCCAGGATAAGGACGTCGCCGAGGCGAAGCAGTCGGCGGAGCGCCGGGAGCGGGATGTCGCGGCGAGATTGCAGGCATGGGAGGAGACTGCTCTGATGTTTGAGAAGCTGAATATTTAGAATTTTGATGAAATGGCTTGCAAGTAGGCATGGTCACTCGAAATGGTTTTGATAAGGGGGATGAGTAAGGGGGATGAAATCTTTTATTGCCCCAGCCGGATTTCCACACCTGAAAATGTATGTGAAGAATGGCAGTACTGAACAGTCTTTTTCCGTCGCTGGGGATCTTCTAGGCCGTAGTAGCATTTTCTCTTCTTCTTATCGCATTAATGACTTATGCATGAAGTATGAGATGACTACACGATTGTTCATAAACACTTTGAGACTTATCTGTTTGGCGTGGAAGACTGTCATCAACAGCTGGAAGTCTATATTAATTAAAGTTTAGCAAGCCAAGAGAAATACGGGGGAAAATGATGTTGCTAGTTATGATCTCTGAGAATGCTGCTTTTGAGAGTCTAGGCACTTGGTTTGGGTCGTCCTCAACCTCGAAGCCGGCATGATTTGGTATTGTATCTACCGATTCAGCACCATTTACGGTCACCACACGGACCTAAGTGTAAATTATCTAACACATTTCCATATCCTTTCATTCAGGATGATCCCCCCTTTTTTATGTTTTACTGACAATAATGGAACTCTAAGTTATGCATGGCCAAGGTAAATATGCCATGTATCTCTGCATATAATTTACTAGCAAAGTGACTTCCAATGTGTGTCGTTCGCGGCTGCTCCTGCTGCCTGTTCAGTTGCGTAATGCGCCGGGATCGAAACCGATAAGCTCTTATCAGCTCCCCAGCCTCGGACCTGCTGGATTGCCTCATCCTGCGACATCACATCCTCATCTCTACCTACTATCCAGTCTTCCTGACTGCTCCTCAAGTCGCAACCATGCTGTCTACCAAGTCGCTCGCTTTCCTCGCCCTCAGTCTGGCAGTTTCTGCCGTCGACGCCAGACCCAGCCGCATCAGCGAAGATGAACCCGACGACACCCCTCTGCCCGTCGTCATCTGGCACGGGCTCGGCGACACCTTCAACGGCGAGGGCCTCAAGCAAGTAGGCGAGCTCGCCGACGCCATCCACCCGGGAACCTTTGTCTACACCGTCTCTCTCGGCGGCACCGACGCCAGCGCCGACCGCTCGGCCACCTTCTTCGGCAACGTGACCGCCCAGCTCGACGAGGTCTGCGAGGCCCTCGCCGCCCACCCCATCCTCTCCACGGCGCCCGCCATCGACGCCGTCGGCTTCTCCCAGGGCGGCCAGTTCCTGCGCGGCTACATCGAGCGCTGCAACTCCCCGCCCGTCCGGAGCCTCGTCACGTTCGGCAGCCAGCACAACGGCATCGTCGACTTCGCGGCCTGCGGCGCCTACGACTGGCTCTGCAAGGGCGCCATGAGCCTGCTGCGCTATAATACGTTTAGCACCTTCGTCCAGTCGCGCCTCGTCCCCGCGCAGTACTTCCGCGACCCCAAGGACTACGCCGCCTACCTCGACGGGTCCAACTTCTTGGCCGACATCAACAACGAGCGCGAGGTCAAGAACAAGACTTATGCCGAGAACCTGGCCCGGCTGTCCAACTTCGTCATGTACCTCTTCGAGGATGACACGACTGTCATCCCCCGCGAGACGTCGTGGTTCCAGGAGGTGAACGGCACCGAAGTCATCGCCATCAGGGACCGCCCGATTTACAAGGAGGACTGGATCGGGCTCAAGGCGCTGGATAAGAAGGGTGGTCTGCGCTTCCGCTCGATTACTGGGGATCACATGCAGATTCCTGAGTCGGTTCTCAACGAGACCTTTGCCAACTTCTTCGGTCCTTATGACAGGAAGTTTGACCCCGAGACTGGTCTTGATGACGGGCGCTGGGGAGAACTATAGTCAGCCTGTTTCTCGTGTAGCTAATCTTTTATTCATTGTGACAAGGAACCCTAGGGTTTGTCTTTCGGTGTAAGCATGTTTTAAGCAGTTCAGGTAAATTTCTTTCAATCCCAAATATCAAAGAAGCGAATAATTGTAAATGTCTATTCGATCTGACAAGGCAGCTTTTGTCTCCTGTGTTCAGGTGATGTCCGCTCCTCTAACTCCACAACGCCTTAACCCTGACAATGCCGGTGCAAAATTCCTTCTACTCGCGCGCGCAAATGTACTAGATCCCCCCCATCTCCCTACTATCCTTTTCTCTGAGACAAGATCATATGCAAACATCGGAAGCGGTTTTTGATATTCAGTTTTTTCCCTCTTTCTTTTACTCGTCCAGAGCCTTCTTGGCGGCCGCCTTCTGCTTCTTCAGCTTGGCCTTGCGGTCGGCAATCTGCTTGTTGAGCTTGTCGTCGTCGCCGTCGGGCAGGTCCTTCTTAACCTTCTTGGACTTCTTCTTCTGGGGCTCCTCGACCTCCTCCTCCTTGGGCTCCTCCTCGCTCTGGCCGATGGACTTTCGCTTCTTGCCGATGTTGGCCTTCTCCTTGCGGGCGACGGCGACGGCGGCGGCCTCCTCGTTGGAGATGACGTCCTTGTTGTCGAGCCACAGCTCGTCCGTGAGCCAGATGGGCAGGGCGGCAGTCTCGGGCCCCTTGATGTAGATGCCGCGGACGTTCCTCCATCGCTGGGGCACCCACTTGCCGACGAGCGCTTCGACGACGGCCTCGACGTTCTCGGCGACCTGCTCGGCCGTCCAGCCCGAGTACCCGATGCGCACGGCCGTGTTGGTCGTGGGGGACAGGTTGACGAGGGCGGAGCCGACGGCCTTCTCGACCTCCTTGGCGATCTGGGCGGGGGTGGCGGCGTTGACGGACCCCTCGGCCTTGGCCTTCTTGGGCCGCTTGCCGTCCACTTTTGCCTGCTTGCCCGCCTGCAGGACGACGGGGACGGGCCGCTTGAGCGTCGACTTGTAAAAGGTCTTGCCGAGGACCTTGGGCAGGCGGTTGATGATGCGGTCGTCGGCGAGGAAGATGTCGTGCTCGGAGAGGAGCTTGCGCTGGGCCTCGTATTGGGAGAACTTGGCCTTGAGCTTGGAGAGGCCGACGACGCGGGTGATGCGCTTGCCCAGCTCCGCGGGGAACTCGTCCGAGGCGACGATGTCCTTGTAGGCGCGCTGGGGGTCGGCCGTGATGAGGCAGATGGTGGTCGACTCGTCCTGGTTGAGGGGGTGCGGCAGGGCGATCTTGCCGGGCTGCAGGCGCGCCTTGTCGACGACGTGGCGCTTGGTGGTGAGCGTCAGCCAGATGGGCGTCTCCTCGGCCGCCTCCTCGCCGCCCTCGTCGTCGAGGAGGTTGCGCTTGGTCGACTCCTGGGCCTTCTCCTTGGATGCCTTCTTGATGTGTGCGATCAGCGCCTTGGAGGCTTTCAGGGTCTAGGGATGATTCTCGAGGTTAGCTCTTTGTCCGTCATGAAATGAAGAAGAGGATGGGAGACAATCCATCCAGCAATCCATCACCAATGGAATGTGGTTTACGAACCTGAGCCGAGTCAATTGTGGCCAAGGCATTATCGCCAAGGGAAGCAACCTCTTTTGACAGCGCCATTGTCTCTTCTGGAACCAAGCCGGGATAGTGGCGATGATGATGGCAGAGAAAAGATGGGCGGTTTGATATGGTCGAGATGGTGGGGGCTTTTGGGCGGCTGGGAGTGTATCCAGAATTTTTTTTTCCTCTGGCTTATCGATTCTGCCAGGCCTGTTGTGAAGGCGGTGTGAGTCGGCACAAGCCATTGATCTTATCTTATCCGGGGGCTCCGCTAATGGATCTCCGAACGACGGAGGGGCGCTCCCGAAAACGCTCCACCGGGTCTGACGGCGGTTGCGGAGCTTTGCCTCACCGGGCGCGTGGCGAGCACGGACACAGCACCGAAGATGCAATTAAGGCTGCAGGGCTGGGAAATGGATGATGCTCCGTCAAATTCTAATTTCTAGATGGGCGATTGATCTATCTGCACGACGCTGCATCTTGTTTTACTCTGCCCTTGTGCGGCGGCCCTTCACCGCGTCTTGCCCGCATCAAGAGGTTGGGAGGCAGGCTAGAAGCATCGCGTGCCGGAGCGCTACTGCAGGAAAATCCTGGGAACAACTGGCCATCATCCACAATCGGCCCATGAAATTCTTTTTTTCTTCCTCCTTTCTTCCCTTTTCGCGTCTTGGATACCTGACACCTGGGTCCAGCGTGCGTGCCCTATCAGGAAGCATGATCATTTTTATGCTTCCTGGCTGCATGGCCCTGCTGTACGCTCAGGCCCGGGAGCTTGCATGCGACAAAGGAAACGATAAGATGGGCTGGCCACAATAGGCAAACACGCAGTATTGTGACGCTGCGGATGGGCGGAAAGCGGGAAAGATACGTACATTTAAGCAATCAATGGCTTGGCCTATTAAACACAGATCCTGCTGGCAGCTTTAACCCTGACCCAAGGCACGGGGCCTGTCACCAAAAAACGCGAACATCACCGCAGGCGGGGTGGAGACGTGTCTTAAGCTGCGGTCAGCACCGGAGAGCTAAAGAGGTTGGACGGAGAGCAGTTCCACCAAAAGGGAGACTGCTGAGAATATGCATCCGTGCTATTGGGCAAAAACAGAGTGAACAGTATCCATCTTCAATTGAAGAAACAGATCGAAGCAAGGGAAAATTTTGCTCGAGACAATAGCCATGTTGTTCAGTCTGATCCGAGGCTGACTCTGAATCAGAGTGGGTTGCGGGCCTGGTTAATTGAACAGGCTAAGTAACTAACTCCTCAGTAATTAAGCGGTGGCATCATTCTCAGCGCATAGGTACCTTCCAGGCGTGGCAGCCATTTATTAATATCTGGACTGACGTGTGCCAGGAGGATAAGCAGCAAACAAAGGGGACTTGGGCAGATACATTGGCGCCTTCAATAACTATCAACTATCGTTTGAAGAAATACAGGTGCTTTAAATGAATGACGGCTAAACGATCCATAAGGTGGTCCCTCATGGGCAAGGAAATCGAAATTGCATTCCATGGATGCGATCGATCGAGCATCGAAGCCGTCTGAAGCTTGCAGCAGGCCTAGACAAGGGCAAGGTCTAGTGGTGCGCGCATACGTGAGCAGGGACCCGCGGCGTGCTGGAATACAGAAGGGCTGCCGCTGTGGCTCGCGGCCGTTCAGGCGTTCGACCGCTGGAACACGTCTGCTAACGTCCCTGCAGGCGCCCCCCTAAGCCCCCTTACAGCGGTTGGCGCAGGCACCTGGACTGCGCTACGGCCAGGTACAACGGCGACGCCAAACGCGAACGCCCACATCGCGTTCGTGTCGGACGCCGTTTAAAATACCGCCCACCCCAAGTCAGCTCTCCTCTTCCAGGTCTCTTCTTCCCAGGCCACTTCCACTCCCACTCGACCACACCGACCACTTTTGGCGACCAAGGTCTCATCGTCTAGCTTTTCCCTCCTTGTTGCAATTTGCATGTCTGATCATAACAATCCTTGAGCCTCAACCGCCTCCACCGCCTCGTTGCTGTCGTCGCCGCCTCTTCAGAAGCCGAGGATCGTGTAAGTGGGCAGCCCACAGAGTGCCATCCGCCAACGCACACGATACCGCCGCGATCACACGCGATAACCGATTTCTACGCCCCTTTTCCAGTCCAAACGACTTTTCGACTGTTTCCGGTTTCGAATACTGCATGGTCATGAAATAGTAATTCGAGGATTTCTGCCACCGACCCTGTACCCTAACCGCCATCCCGACTATCCACAACTCGCCTATCATGGCCGGCTCTTCCCACGACGACTCGCTCGCCCACGAGCCTACACTCCCAGAGCTGAAGCCATACTCTAAGAATTCCACACCTGAACCCTCCTTGGGTGCTGTTGCCGGCATAAAAAGACGCGCGCCTTCTCTGCTGCCAGCCTTCGAACCCTCGTCCTCGCCTGGCCTTCCCCGCCCGCTTAAGCGACAGAACACCGGGAGCAATGGCAGCGACAAGGAAAACGGCCGGAGGCAACTCCCCACCCCCGTACCGACCTCGAGCACCGGCATCATGTCCAGCTCGCCTCCTGTCAGACGATCCGACTTTGTGCAGTCGTCCAGTGCCGCCCGGGCCAGCGAGCGAGCTCCATTGGGTGCTCTCCCCACAGTTGAACTGCCCGAGAACGGCGAGCCGCTGCTGATGGGACGCTCCTCCAACTCCTCCCACTACCAGCTGCCGGCCGGCCCCAACCTCCGCCTCGTGTCCCGAGTGCATGTCCAGGCCAAGTACGTGTCTGCTACTAACCCGCTGGAGCCTTCCAAGATTGAGATCTCGTGCCCTGGCTGGAACGGGCTGAAGTTGCACTCGCAAGGTAGAACCTGGGAACTCTTCAAGGGCGATAGCTTCACCAGCGAGACAGAGGGCACCGACATCATCCTGGACGTGCTCGGTTCGCGGGTAATTCTCCAATGGCCCAACCGCCATGCTGATTCGTTTGCCAACATGTCGGACGGTAGCTGGGACTCACCCGAAGTCGTAGGCCGTAGGGCTTCCATCCTCCACTCCTCGCCCCTGCGTCGTTCCGGCCGCATGGCCTCCCCTGAAAGTCCTACCCCGGCCGGCCTGTCCAGCTCCCAGCGTCTTCACCAGTCTCTGTTCTCCCCTAGAGAGGGACTCAGCATCAAGATTTTTGAAGACGAGGCGGAGCCCGAGCTGCCTGAGCCCGTCGACCACATGGATGTTAATGTCAGCATGCGGACCGAGGCCACAGCCAGCTTCTCAAGCGAGCTGAGCGACCACGACAGTGAGGATGATGAGAAGGACCCTGACGAGGAGAACGACCCTATTGTCCATTCATTTGGTCCCTTCGGCGCAAACATCTCAGGTCGCTTCGCCAGCATCTCCACGCGCTCTCCCAAAGAGCTAAAGCGCTCACCAAAGCCCAGAGCTTCTCCCTTCAAGACGAAGCAAGACTCACGCAAGATGTCGCTGGCCAGAACACTTTTCCCCGAGATCCCATCCTCCCCTCTGAAACCTGTTCGGGAGGAACCACGTGCCAAGTCTGAGACACCAGAGGAGGTCAAAGAAGAAGAGGAAGAAGTCACAGAGATCAAGGAGGAGGAGAAGCCCGTCGTGGAGCTGAACCCCTCGATTACCAACCACGTCGTCAACCAGCTCGCCTACTCCAGGCTGTCATCCACCCCCCTCTCAACCATCTTGCACAACCTCCCCAGCGATGCCAAGGAGGGGCTGACCGCCGCCTCACTCCGCGTCGCCATCGAGTCGACCGCCTGCATCGGCTTCATCACGCGTGAAGGCAAGGATGCAGCCGGCAAGGCTCTCGAGAGCCAGTACTACTACGTTCCTGAGTTCGACACGGACGAGCAGCGAAGGGCCGCTGTCGTCGATGGCCTCAGAAAGCCCAGCCTGAGGGCCTGCAGGAAGCAGCATAAGGTATGGATTACAACGCAATCTCCATTTGAATTGAACAAGTCGCTAACTTTGTTTTTTATTAGCAATACTACTGGAAGCGCCCCAAGACACCTTAGATGCATTTGTCATCCAACGTTTCTCGAGGCAACCTATTGCATTCAAACCCATTTGCACTCACGAAGGCGTGAGAAGGAGGAGCGACATGAGCGCGCTATATACCCCCTCCCACTCTTTACGACTCTTCTGCCGCTCATTTACATACGGCTTAACACTTGTACATACGAAATGATTGCATCCTATTTTCTCCCACTCCCATACATGGAGTGAGAACCCGAACCACGATTTTTTGCTTCTTTTCCTGCTACACACTCCATCCAGTGTCTCCGTCCCTGATTGATTGGACGCGGACAGCATGCGGCGCATATTCCCGGCACATGCAAGACAAGGCGTCAGCCACTTGCTTTTGTCTAGGTATTCTTGGACATTTGAGGGGAAGAATTAAAGGGAAAGGGAGAATAAAAGCATGTGATGGGCGATGATGATGGTTTTCACGGATCAGGGCGAAAGGGGGGGCGAACTGGCATCATGGCTTCTGGGCATTCATTGTTTCTTTCTTCTTTGGTTTCGATGGTCTTTGGCAGGAATTGGGATTGCGATGAGATTCGCATCGGCGCGACCCTGAATGAGGTCCTAGGAGTTTGTTTCTTGGCTTTTTGATGATCATTTTGGCATGGAGTTTTGTGTTGTAAAAGAGCATTTGCATGGTTCGGCATTTCGGTTTCTTATTTATTGACTCATTCGATACGCTTTTCTTCTGCTCTAGTGGTTTCGTTGGTGATGCATTAAGATAAGAATGAGTGAATGGATAACGGCAGATTATTTGATGAGGTGGGCTGCTACGATTGGCGGGGGAAAAATGAAAGTAGATTGCCTTGAGAATACACGAAGTCTAGTCGATTGATTGGATCACACTAGCCGCCCGGTTTAATTGACGAATTGACTTGGCCTGTCGAGATGATATGATTTGATGAGCTTTGCCCGTCACCCTATACCTTGATTTAAGAACATGACGACCGCAATGAAATGAAGACTTTGGGACGACTACAAAAAACAATGGCTGATTCATCTGAGGGGAACAATTGGGATAATGACATGCCATCCACTGCAAGATGCGGAGGTGTGGAATAGCTGATGGGATGATTGGCTTGATTGGACCGGGAAGGGGTGTGGATGGCCGCTTGGCCGACATCACGCACATTCCAAGTGGCGAACGCGGATGAACGCACCTTCTTCCCCACGCGGAGAGCTCTTTACTTGGTTAAGTAAGTAGCTATAGTAGGCCTCGATCTAGAACACCGTAGAGCTATCTGTCCCCTCTCCAACACCTCCTCTGCCTCTACCTCATCACCAATTGACTCCCATCAAATCAAGCATTCAAACAACCTAACTTACTACATCTCATCACCCGTTCGTCTCTGTACATAAGCATACAAAATGGCTCCCTCAAACGAGCAGCCCATCCCCTCCCGTCCCGCTAACCAGACCGAGGCGGCTCACCCCAAGACGGACGCGGCCCATCCGACTGACACTCGCGCCGCCCAGCATGCACTGGAGCACACAAACAGCTGGACGCCCAAGCTCGACCGCCGCCAGAGCTGGAGCAAGGAGGATCAGAAGAGAGCGCTGCAGATGACCGGCATCGCCGACGGGGAGTCCAAGAACTGAGCTTGATCCCCCACAGTAGGATTGGGAAGGGTTAAGATGGACTCGAAGGATAAAAGCCTCTTGGCAGCCTGCATCATCGGGAAGGGCCTAATTTACGTTCCTCAAGAATAGGAGAGTGGATTCAAGTATCTGGTATCAGTAGAGAAGAAAAGTACTACTACAAATTGGAAAAACCTCATTCATCCATCGTCGTATTCAACTCCTCCAACTCCAGCCCAGTCAACGCCAGTAGAAACCTCAAGTGAAAAAAATATGAAAACGTCCCCTCATTTCTCAACCAGTCCTTGTACTGGTGGCAGGCCCAGCAGCCGATGGGGGCGTTCTTTCGGACAAAGGAGCTCGTCTTGTGAGAGATTCCGCGACGGCTCCAACTGCATATGAAACTCCAGCAATCCATACCACGCCTACGAGGGCCCTTCTCCCAACACCCCTCTTCTTACGATTTCCCCGTTCTTCTTGCTTTCTAGTGTTTGTCTCTTCTTGGTAAGTGTTAGGCTCGGCTTGGTGAGTCGATGTTGGATTCTTTGACACAGGATCAAACACAGTATCGTAATTGACGAAACCAGTTGGACTTGCGAAATTTCCCGTTACAGACCGACCCATCATGTCAATTGGGTTCACACGATGATGGGCTGCTGTCCCAGCTGGCCCTTCTCCTTCGGTACTCGTTGAGGCTTCTCGCACTTTTTGGAGTACGAGGACATCTTTGTTTCCTGACACAAGTTCATATCCGCGACTTTGGAGACTTGAAATATGCGGGAAGAATTTGGCGGCATTGTTCAAATTGAGAATAAGATCAGTGGCGGTCCGGGGAGATGTTGACTGAGGCAATTCCGAGGTGGCGTCGGCCATATGGACTTTGTCAGACGAGGAATCGTATGCCAACAACTTGAAGGAGCTGGCCATCTTGTTCTTGCTAGCGACATCCTTGTCGAATGTTGCATATTCCGTAGAGAGACTCTCAGATTGCTGCGGAATTGCAAATAATTCGGCCTCACTGTCAGGCATCTGTCCAGTTTCGCTAGTAGCCAAATGCCCGGCTGTAGTTCCAGCCACGGTCGCACTAGTAGCCGAGTTGTCAAATTTGTTTCGTCCCTTTGATGAAGCCTTTGATAGTTGTCGATTCAAGGCCGGCTCTGGTCTAAAGGTCTCGGTGGGGAAGCATCCATCCATGGATTCGAGTTCAGGCTCGTCTTCTAGCTCCACCGAGGAAGGTTTGGCTGAGGTGCTCTGAATGCTATCATCCCTAGAGAGATCCTTGGGAAAGAGTGCTGCCCCTGTTGATGAATTTTCGGTGCTCCAAGATCGGGCAAAGTCTTCCGAGAAGTCTTGAATGTAGTTTCCTGTCAATCGATGTGTGTTTTTGGTCTTTGTGTCGTGAATTTGGTCTCTGGCCTGGTTCGTCGTAGCATCCCAGGAGGACTCGTGCTCTGCCTTGGCACTCTCTAATGTTTCATTTTGTCTATTTTCCTGCACCTTTCGAAGAACGTCAGCGCGAATATCCTGCGCTGTCAAGTTATCCAGAGAGTCCATACTGTCTTCTAGGGTGCTCGATGACATCTTGTTGGCCTGGCCCCAGTGTCGACCCATTGTCAAGGTTTTTCCCTGCTCGGCTCGTACCTTGGAATCATAAGGTCCCAGTCCCTGCGAGGTGGGGTCATGGTGTTTTCCTGGAAGTCCATCAGGCTCGTTATGCGATACAGTACCGTAAAGATGAAGGTCCTTGTAGGCCTTGGTGGCTTCCTCGGAGTGAACCGGGTATGTCTTGTTGGCTGGGTCAAATGACTTAGGAGCATACTTGTCCAAATCCTTGTATTGTTTGGTCAGCTGCTCAGGGTGAGTTCGTTCCAGTGTCTCTGCCTGCTCAAATGAGGCAGAGTACTTGCCTAGGTCCTTGTATTCCTTGGAGGCTTCCTCCGGATGGATTGGACGGTTCTCGTCGGGAGAGTCAATTTTTTGAGTTTCGTACTTTGCGAGATCTTGGTACGCCTTCGAAGCCTCCTCAGGATGAACCCGTGGTGTAGCAGAGCTATCCATTTGCTTAGAATATCCATCAAGGTCCCTATAGTTTTTGGAGGCTTCTTCCGGGTGCCTTCGCACGACCACATCTTCGGTTGGAGCATCCCGAGCTGCATAGCTTGGAAGGTCAGAGTAGGCCTTGGACCTTTCTTCCGCTGTAGGATTTCCAAGCCCATCAGGTTCATTCCATCGTACAGCACCATACAGCCCCACATCATTGTAGTTCTTGGAAGCCTCCTCCGGGTGGATCCTCTGGGGAACATCTTCGAGTTCTCCCTCGGAATTTGCACTATAAGCGTGCACATCTTTGTAGTCCTTTGATTTCTCCTCGGCTGTTCGGGATGGAAGGCCGTCAGGTTCGTTCCATTGAGCTGGCCTGTACATATGGAGGTCGTTGTAGTTTTTTGAGAGCTCCTCCGGAGTCGGTTTTGGCAAACCATCGGGTTCATTCCACCTGGCAGGCCCATAAGCTGCCAGGTCTGTGTATTCCTTAGCCGGGTCCTCTGACTTGACCTCAACCTTCGGAGGGAGCAGGTTGCCCTTGGGCGTTGTGTCCAACTGGGCTCGTTCGAACTCTTCCAATACAGACGCCTTGGCGACAAACGGTGCACTGTATTTCTGTAGGTCGTTGTAATTCTTTGACCTCTCTTCCGGGTTCAGTGGTCGAAGACCATCAGGCTCGCTCCATGCCACTGGGCCATATTTATCCACATCTCCATAAGATTTGGATGCTTCCTCAGGCGTCAGGGCAGGTAGTCCATCAGGCTCATTCCACTGTACAGATTTGTACTCCCCAAGGTCGGCGTAGTTCTTAGATCGCTCTTCCTCGGTAGGATTTGGCAAGCCATTGGGTTCTCTCCATTGTACTGCGTTGTATTTAGAAAGGTCGTCGTAGTTCTTGGAAAGCTCTTCTGGAGTGGGCTTGCGCAAGCCATCTGGTTCATTCCATTGCGTGGCCTTGTACGTCCCGAGGTCATCGTATTGCTTGGACTTTTCCTCGGGTGCTGCATCGGGTAGACCATCAGGCTCATTCCAACTGACAGCACCATAGGACCCCAGATCGTCATACACCTTGGATTGTTCTTCAGGCGTCAGAGTTTGTTGCCCGTCGGGCTCGTTCCAAGAAGCTGGCTTATAGTTTTTCAAGTCAGCGTATTGTTGTGATGATTCCTCGGTGACTCCTCGTGGAGCGATTGAACTGTCCAAATCAGGCGCATATTTGTTTAAATCATTGTAATTTTTCGATTGCTCCTCTGGTACCGACTGTTGGAGACCATGCGGCTCGTTCCACTGCACAGGTTTGTATTTTCCCAAGTCGTTATACCACTGGATCTGCTCCTCGGAAACGGGGGTTTGGAAATTATCTGGACTGCCAAGAATCGGCTTATACTGCCCAAGATCTTTGTATTTCTTGGACTGCTCCTCGGCAGTCGGCTTCTGAAGCCCATCGGGTTCGTTCCATCTCGATGGGCTATACTTGTCCACGTCGTCATATTTTGGTGTAGACGCTACCGTTTGCGAGTCGAAGGACTTGGTATGGGATACTCTACGATTCGTGATTGGGTCGATGTGAGAGTCACCATGGGTCACATTGTCCGACACATTCTCCTTTGGAGTATGGTGAGATTTGAGTAGATTTCGGATACTGTTCAGCGGCGATCTCCAGATTTCGTGCTGGTAACTGCCGAATAAATGGTTGATGGCCTCACGTTCTACATCCTCAATGTTTCGGCCTGGGCGAATACCCGACAGGTCATCGGACCAGGACTTGATCTCGTCAACATTCGCATTAGTGTCGCCCGAGCCGAATTTCGCAAAAGGTGCCGTGGATAGAGTGATGTGTTTCTTTATGATGGGCTTCGTGTCGTCGGTCCGAGGTTGGTTTTCCCACGACAACTGCCGATGGATGGACTCCATGTGACGGTACCGGAGGCTGCGGCGACGGCCCCTCGCCTCCCTTGCACCTAGGCAAAAGCATCGACTGTGCTGGGCGGGTGATGAAGATATGCCACTTGCCAAGGCGGCAGACGATCTCGAAACATGCTGCGATGGTAATCTTCGCGCACCCAGGGTGGCGCGCGACGTCGCTGTGGGCAGCATCTTGGTAGAGCAGGAAGATATTGCCCAGCTTGGACGGAGAGCCGAAAGTGCGGCTTGGTCGTCCGCTTAGCACTCGAGTAGTCAACAAGTACGCTCGGTGGGTGGAAGAGGGCAGTTCAGCACCGAGGTGAGAAGCATGGAGGCTTATCTTCCCCCTACCCGAGTACGATGGTGATTGATGGGGGCCTGGTCAGTGACGTCGAGAATGGTGCCAGAACTCAAGCGGAGCAAGTGCACAAGGGTCAAGGCGCAGGTGGAGATGAGGCTGGTTGGGGCAGGGAGGCTGGCAGTGATGCACAGGTAAGGGATGGAAAGAGAGAGAGGAAGTGCGAAGAGGAGAAGGAGGAGGAGAAAATTGAGGAGGAGGAGGAGAGATTGGAGTTTACGCTACCATCGTGACAAGCAAATGTACTACGAATTCAAACCACCTGCAGGCAGGCTTATTAGGATGATCTCATGGTGCGGACTACAGTCGACCTCCACTGACCGGGAGGTTCCAGGGAGGGTTCTGGGGGAATGGGGCCCCTGGAGCCACTGGAGACCAGGTTGGGCAGGGGCGCTTGCGGGGTAAATGCGCGCTATTCCATCGATGGACAGATTCCCCCCTCGGCATGCTGTCACACGAGGACCAGGCCAGAACTCCGCCAAGCTGCACGCCAAGGTCAGCTCGAGCGTGGCTGGCTCGGCATAGCGAGCCGCTGACGCCGTGGCTCTCGTCGGTATTGCATCTGATTGAGGGGCTGGCTCAGGAATGGCCGAGATGCCCCGAGCGGCAGGGAGACACTGGCGAATGGTGAGAGGGCCCGCAGGTCTCCACACCCCTGAGGGCAAGACAGATCCATGGATGCCTACAGCATGGGCCTTTGCCATGGGTCAGACGGAAAGCACCATTTTGAGCATGTTGGCATGCTTAGCCGGAGATAGTTTGGTGTCACGTGTCTGGCGCTAAGCACTGCTCAATCGGATGGCGATGGCGCTAGATAAGTAGTCCCAAAGGACGATCGATGTTTAGCGCCCGCTTGCTCCTCTTCTCCGGTCACTGCCGGCTTGTCCGTGATCATGTGTGAACAGGAAGAGGACTAACATGCTGCTCGCTTTCATCATCGCACTGCTCCTTATCTATTAAAAACTACTTACATGAGTAAGTAAGTATTAATCGAATATTGGGGGACTATTTTGATTGGTAAATCTAATGATCGCTCAAAGGTCAACAAACTGATGGCCTATAGGGTAGCCACAAGAGAAGGCCAGACCTGTCTCGGCATGCCCCAGATCTTGATCTGAGAATCAAGGGCAGTGGTCATTGTGTCTATAAGAGTAAGCGCAGATGGGAGAAGGGATTTTGCACGGCATTCTGTTAGAATAATACTCATGCAAACTGGCTTGCATTTCGAAAAGGAACAAAGTTGTTCTGCGATTACTATCCTCAGAGTCTAGAAGACATTGATGCTTTAGACTAGGTACCTACGAGGATACAGATCAGCCATGATATCGAGCATGCCGAAATAATCACTTGCCATGTTCATAACTATGCTATATTTAGGGGTAAGTAAATAGTCTTACGACTACCTTGATATCCTTTATAGCTACTGCAAAAGTATATTTTCGTGGAATGAATTTTGACCTATTTGACGCACTACGATGGCATTATCAGACACATACTTAGGTACCTTCGCAAGAAAGCGATCTCGTAGCTCTCGAATGCTACCGCTGATGGACACATACATCGTCGTCTTGAATCCTCTGATAGAATGTGAAATGGAGTTTGATGCTGGGCAGGCTGAGGTGCGGAGAATGATCCTCTTGCTAGATGCTTACCTTACCACTAAGTGAGGGTGAGGAAGTTGCTTGAGCAGGTGGAATTCGTAATCGAGGCTGGTGTGCTCTTGATGGAGGCTCCAGGCAGGCCTTTGACAGAGATTTGAGGTGTTCTGTGGAGACCTTCCATTAGTGAGCCGGTGAGTGAGTAATACTCCGGAGGTCTATTGTACCCGAGTACCTGAGGCGGACCCAATAATGTGCGGCCAAGGCACTCACTTTGCGATGAAGCCCTTGTACTTTTTCCCCCGCAGTGACATCACTTTGGCCCTCATCGACTCTGCGCAAACCCCCACCAACGTTCAAGGACACACATCGATTGCCGACGACGTCTCAGCACGAGACACGCTCCTGCACTCACGCAAAGATATTGCTCCGTTTTTTTCGTCGCGGCTGTAAAGAAGACCGGCTCTCAACTGCATGATTTGATCAGACCACAGTTGCGCGAGTGTGCGCCCGCAGCTTCCAACATGAAGAAATCCAAGGGCAAGACTGCTGGCGGGTTTGCATCCGGTGGCTCATCAGGGTTCGGTGCTTTCTCTGGCCCAGGGTCTGGATTTGGCGCATCTGGAGGTCCCAGCTCCCTTTCATATCTCACGGAGCCGCCCTCTCTTCATGCCATATCCGACCCTAACGTCGTCGTTTCGCTGAAGAACGTCCTGAAGAAGGACCCCACAACCAAGAGCAAGGCTCTTGAAGAGCTTGTAGCCTATGTTCAGGCTCATCCCTTCGAGAAGGATGGCGGTGTCGAGGATGCTGTCTTGGACGTCTGGGTACAGGTGTACGCACGAACCTCTATCGACAACTCTCGACGTGTTCGGGAGCTCGCCCACAACCTGCAACTTGAGCTGATGAAGTCTGCTCGAAAGCGGATGGAGAGACAAATACCTAGTATCGTGGGTGCATGGTTGGCGGGGCTCTATGACCGAGACCGGGTCGTCGCTCGAGCAGCCAACGACAGCCTCTCCTCTTTTCTCACGACCCCTGAGAAAGTTGTAGCATTCTGGAGGAAGTGCCAAACTCAGATCCTGGACTTTGCTACAAGTGCGATTCAGGAAACCGAAGATACGCTAAGCGACGAGAGGTCAACTACGAAAGAAGATTCGGAGGCAAAATATGCCAGGGTGGTAACGGCCAGCCTGTCTCTGGTTCTTGGCCTTCTCCAGAAGGTGGAGAGTGCTGATATCGAAAAGTTCCGGTCCCAATACGACGAGTACTTCTCGCATGATAGTGTATGGAAGGGTATCACATCTAGTGATACATCTGTCAGGAAAACTGTCTGCCAGCTCTTTTTTGTTTGCTTAGACCGAAAACTCCCCTATTCTGACGAAACAAAGGCGAGACAAGCCATCGTCACTGGTGGCCTTCGTACAAATCAGCTTGGATCTGCGTTGGAATATGTTCGAGCACTTACCAAGCTTACACAGGCAGACCCTAATATTTGGGTGTCTTCTGGGGAAAAGAAAACCCCACTAACAAGATTGAACGCCTTCATCGCTAAAGGCTCTCAAGGTAGCATTGCCAAGTTTTGGGAATTTTTGGATCAACTTTTGAGCATTTTGCCCACTTCTACCCTCGGACTCGAAGGTTCTTCTACGCTTCTAGCATCCTTGCTGTCTGGAGTTACGAACCGGGATGAGCCTCGGACCAACACCTCTTTTGCCTGGAAGTGTTTTATCGATACCGCAAAGAGGCTCTTGCAGTCGTTGGGGGGTGAAGACCAACTAGTCTTTGGAAAGAAACATATCTTCCCTCTTTTTGAACAGTTTCTTTTCGCCGTCTCAGAAAAGCCAAACTCAATACCTCTTGGACCGAATGCAATGTCTATTTTTGTGGACGCATACATCTTCCTTTCAAAGGCAGACCCATTGCTTTCCTCCGAATTCTCCCAAGAATGGGAAAACTACGCTACGAGACTGTCTGACAGTATATCCAACTCGCTACCAGAGGTTTCTAAAGAGTTTGAGGTGTCACAGGAGAAGATTGGAGAAGAAGGCCGGCGGTGGTTTGGCCTCGTTGGGCAGATATATCAGAGGACACACGAGCTGAGTGAAACTGATGTCGACCACACTAAGGCTGCATCCGAACAGGTCATTTCTCAATCCATTTCGCTCCTGGAGAAGCGTAGTCTCAAACCATTCGGAGCTGCGCGGATTGTTGAATACGCTCTTAGCACTGCTCCTCACCTTTTCAACGGCGAGAAGTGGACTGAGGTGTCCAACTTGCTTCTTTCCGTGGGCGGGGAGAATATAACCCAAGTGATCGAGTCACCGTCCTCCCGGTATCTGTTTTCTTGGCTTCGCCTGTTGGGGTCATTTGCCTCGAGAGAACAGGATTTTGCGCAGCTTTGGAACACCTGGCTAAGCGCTGTTCTTGGTTTGCCCTCAGGACCAGCAAACGACAGTGCGCTCGCTTCACTACTCTCACATGAGAAAGCGTCGGAGTTGGCTAGGAGAAGAAAGGACCTACAGGATGCCGTCGTTACAAGAGCTCTGGCATCTGTCACGAATGAATTAGGTTCCTGGGATCTCCTTGAAACCGCCGTAACATATAGTGCTATCGATGATATTTCTTACGAGAACATTGCTAAGAAGGCTTTGGGGTGTTTAGAAAAAAGTAAACACAACGAAAGAGCGCTCAAAGCTCTGGAAATTCTAGTCAAGGGCCGACCACAACTATTTTCCGAAAATGAGGAACTCCACACTGCCCTGGTAGCTCAGCTGCTCAGACTCTCCGAGATTGGTGAAAGCCAGATCTCCGGACAGGCCTCTGCGATCCGGCAGCTTCTTGACGGCCATTCAGATGGCAAGTTGCCTGTTATGAGCATTATCCAAGCTAATCTTGACCGTGCTGGTCCACAAGCACTTGAGTATGTTGTAATTCCCCTAATCCGTACTCATGCCCTGTATACTAACTATTCCCAGGATTGAGACAGTGCTCCAGCAAGCCAAGAATGCGTCGAGTTCCCAGGCAGAAGACCTGTTCCCTAGCACTCTCGTTTGGACCAAAGAACTACAGAGGCTATTTGAGCGACCCATTGACCCATCGCTATCCATCACGAGCAACGTCGGAGCTTCTGTGGCCTTGATTCAGAGCGAAACCGGGGAGATTTTGCCTGGACAGTTGCAGCGTGATCGACAGGGCCGCTCTGTTCCTGTGAGGATGGCACTTTACCTCAACAGCATGCTTCAAGAGAGCCAAATCTTCTCAAAATTACCTGAGCAATTTCAGGTTGAGCTCTTAAGTCTGCAGTGCGCCACGGTACAACTTGTTTCTGATCAAATAACTTTAATGTCCGAGAACGGCCCTTGGGCCAGTTTGAAACACCGTAAAGCCACAGCTGAAGCCGAGGAGCTCATATCTTCCTTCAGAAGCACTCTCAACTCTCGATTTGTTCCCAAAACCGGAGAAGAGGTCTCTGCCACTTTCCTGCGACTTTTAGATTTACTGATGAGCCAGGCCAAGGCACTGACTGCCCGTGGTTTCTACACATCGCGGGCGCTTTATGAACTTGTGCAGTCATGGGTTGAAGCCCAACCTGTTACGGAGCTCATGGAGGAAAAGCTGCTCAAAGCAGATGT